TGCGGTATAGCGGGATCCGTGTGGATTCCTGCCACTAAGGATGCGAGCAGGAAGCCTGACCGTTGGAACATGTGTCATGGGGATCATTGAATTATTTACGCGGCAATGGCGGCTGTTATCTCAGCTAGAGAACCACGTCAGAGAGCCTCCGTTTGCACCAACCTCTAGCAACTTAGTATGACCATAGCTTTGTACGTAAGACCTTACTGAAAGATACAATTGGACGTGTGGTCTTCGACCTCGGGGTCAGGATGATGACTGGATCCAAAATCAGACTGACAGCGGAGCTGGGTGTTGATACTCCCCTATTTTCAAAGTGATCTTCCCCGCTGGCCTCTTCAACGACTACCTCACAATGTAACTAATTTGAAGTTGGCTTCTTTCTGGTCGGCTAAGAGATGAATGCGGGTTTTCTTGATCGTGATTGACGTCGGAATTGACGTTTGTAGCCAGTCTGTCAGGGGAGTGTGCCACAGGTTTCTGCAGAGCGGGACCAATTCAGCTTGAGTCATGTAAACTTTTCACTGAAGATCACCTTCACACTCTTGGAGAAACGAATGTAGATGGGTTCGGTGAACGACAGGCTCATAGTTGGGCGCTTAGAGAATGGGAAATGCAAATGAACCATGGATGCAAAACATCCAACTCGAATGACACCTGTTCGCTCAGCGGCCAGCAAAGGCAGTGAAAAAGCTCTTTAACATAGACTTTCAGGCATGAAACGACGTCAATTTTGAACCTGCCACGCCTACGTTTTCGTGATTCTCTTGAAAAGTTTGAGGCAATTTATACAACGAATTAGCGTTGATAGCTGCTTTGCTGCGTCATCAGGGGGCGCACACGACTGAAGTCTGTGATGAACATGACTGATACTCTATTCGTTGCTCTATTCATTATTCTCCTGTTTTAATATTCCATATGCTGTATATGTTCGCCAATTCGAATACATACGTACTGGTTGTTACGCTTCGCTGAATTCTGGATTTCTAGTTTGTCGGGTTGTACCGATATACGTACGAAACTTAATTCCCGTTGAACAAATTTATGTCTTGTATTTTTGTTATTACAAGCCTCTGGGCGCCATTGGGTGTGTAGGCGTAGTTGGTGCTGATTAAAATTCTGCCCACGCTCTCTATTTTGCCAAAATGTTGTTTTTCTAGGTTTTTAAGCTTTTTTCTATACAGTAACCACTTCTATGCCTCCGTATTTGCACATTTTTGGTTAGTTGGCCAAGTGAGAGCTCCTGCCCATTCACATGTTTGGTGCGAATTTCGGAGCAAATCGGTGATTTGGGTTTTAGCAATCGCGCGCTGAACAGCGTTTGGCCTTCAGGATTACGATGATGGTCTCCAATTCAACGGGGGTTCTTGTCCGATTATTGTTTTAACCCGAAGGTTTCACGATCTTTTTTGAGGCCGGCACATCTCGAGTTCTATTGGCTGTTGGGTTGCGTTCTTCTGTTTATGGCCAGAAAACTCAGAAGTTTCACGAAGTCTGATATTCTGGTTCCTCACATTTTCACCGTCACATCCTTCTTGTCTTGTGCCAGGCAGGAAGCCTTTTGTTTTGCGCTTCTCAATTTGCTTTTATGCCCACCACATTCAAATCCCAAAGATCCGATCTTTCTCGATATCCTCTCCAAAACGCAGAAAAAACGCATAAAAACTGGATCTCCGCGATGCTCAACGTTGGGGTCTGGTTTAATTTTGAACCAAAATTATTTCAAAGTGGCTTCAAGCTCGTCGATCAAGAGATGATTGTTTCCGTTCCGTCTTTCCTGTAGAGCTGTTTAAGCCCGAGTCAGGCGCCTCATTCTAGCATTGCTTGCATGTTTACTTCCTTTATAGTGGTTCAAATGACCAAGTTGGTATGGTTGGTCACAATTTGTCGAGGATCAGTTTGGATGTTGCTCTTCGGCTTTCTCTCGTTCACCGCCTAAACAGGGCAAATACGAGACGTGCTGTCAGCCAGCACACATGCATACTTCTAGGGCGTTGCTGCAACCAATACGTTCGGATACAAATTCATGAGCGACGTTTTGATGCACAAGGTTGGCTGGTATTTGCTCAATAACTCTAGGTATTCTATAGAAGAAAATGTCGGTAACTGAGGTAGCATAGATGGTCGTTGGGTTGTTCGTGTGAGCTGGGCATAGTGCTTGGCACAACCACTAACCCATCGCTTCGCACTACTACGCTCCCCAATAGCGTGCCGTTGATGTCACCTCGGTTGTTGATGAAACTTTCGCAGCCAAATTGCCCAGCTCAGCGAACAAGCCAACGAACTCTAGGTATAGCAAATTCCCAGTTGGTGTCCTATATGTAGCACGTCGATTGTGCTGCATGGAGTTCTGGATCGACCCGAATTCCTGAATCTAGCCTGGACGCCTTTTTGAATCACACATCATGAAGAAATGCTAATCTAGCCCTCATCATGAAATCTTGCCTAGGTATAGAGTTTCTGATGGGTTCTGTCACTGGATTCCTCTATGTTCGGGACGCGAGACTTTCATTTGTCCATGAGAATTGCTTGAGGTCACCACTTAGGCGAGAAATTCTGGTTCTGAGGGGAGAACGGCAACAGGAGCGCTCGCATTCCCACGGAACTCGCTACTCCTTGATGAGAATCACTCCGTATCATGTCTGCTATGGAAATCTTGCGGCGGAATAAAGCAACGTATAGATTTTGAGCACTCAGTTGCTATAGGATTTTGAGACAAGCCACGAAAAACCGTCTTGAATTCTCATTCATGGTGATAAGGCGACGGAAGTATCGAATCTTTGTTCATTGATAATGGTAATGATAATGTTTATTCCCAACTTGTGGGTGGCATGCCGTCTGGCATGATCATGCGTTTACAGTCAGAATGGGGCATAACTGAGGGATTTGCGGGTAGTGGTGACTGCGCGAAAAGGGGACAATGTCGCAAACAGCGGGAGGTACTCGATTAAATAATAATAATGTTTCTTTTGCAACTTGTAGGGAACAATAGGCATGAGGTCCGAGTAATTCAGTGACTCAGTTGGCTGACATGAACTAAAACTGGAAAATCATTGCTGGCCATGAGTGACCTTGGGTGGTTGGGCAAATGACCGGAGTCATAACAAGCAAAAGTGGAGATGGAGATGGGATAATTNAGTCAGGTGTAGGGGTTAGGTTTGATGGGAACACAGCGGTGGTTGAATTTGAACGAGTAGTCCAATAGGTTGGAATGAAGGTCATGGTGCTCGTTGGGGTCAATGAAACGAGTAGGCAAGAGGGCACGGGTGAGGGGAGGAATAGAACGGTTGCGGGTGTGCTATCAAACTGAGTATGACAGTGCCGTGCCATCATTGGCCTGACATGCTTCAGTTTTTGGACAGCCCCGTGACGGACGTCACATCTGAGATGATTCGTCTCGGGTGTTCAGTTCATTGAGCAGCGGTATTCATTTCAGCCTGGTTGAGGAAACAAGCTGGAACGAAGCCGATATGGGGCTGCAGGTTTTCTTGGTCCGCTTGGTGATCCCGGAGTTGTAGATCATAGGCCAGGTGGAGTGGAGATCAGCCAACCAGGTCGTCCGAAGCGGGAACTTCCGAAGTTTAAAGCTTGGGAAGGTGAGGGGATGGGAGGAGGTGAGGGGATGTCAATGATGTCGGTCGAGTATCCTCCCAGCAACACCAAATCGTACCTAAACAATGCAAATGCTCGTTATTTTGAAAAGTTCGACGCAAAAAACGCATGTGTCACATTCTTCCACCTTGGGACGTTTTTCGCATACCATTTATACTGATAGTTCACGCTTTTGAAGAAACAGAGATGCTATTAATTGCGGTTTTTTTTCACTGCGAACCTCTTGGACAAATTTGGCTCAACCTAAACGATCCTCTTACGGATACCAGTTGGAGCCCATCGGGGGTCCGTCTGGGGGTCGGTTCGGCGCACCAGGCGACTCAAGGCACAAGACTGCGTCTGTTCGGACTCCCACAGAAAACTCTCCTCATAGTCATCCGAAGCACATCGCACTTTTTCCTCTTGGTTCCAGATGAAGGCAATATCCACGACCCAAGGGTCACCAACAATAAGCCTGAACATCTTAGATCACCCGGCAGCTGTTGTATTTGGCGGTTCCCAATCTCTCGGTGGATGGTCACTTCTATCAGGCTGCGCGTAAAATGCATCCAGACAGGACGTTTCTCACGTTACTTCAGTGTTCTTGAATTTGTACCGTTCCTCATCGAACACTGCAAAATCCCGCGGAACCCTCAACCGATGGTCGTAATTGGGTGATTCGCGGTTACTTAAGAGTTCGTTCTGCTTCAGCTATCCCACATCTCGAATGACTGCTAAGCATTAGCTTTTATTTTCCAGGTATATACCATGTTCAGTGAACTTGTCACACGCTCTTGCAGCCTATTTTAACATTGAATATTTGATTTATTTTCCTTTCTCAGTAAGACTACTAACTTTTTGTCCGAAATCCGAAACTCCTCCAAACCGGAAACTCGTCGCATTTCTCCTGCGATTTCTCCTGGGCAGATTCCGGTTTGGACGATCCACGCCACCTCGCTCACTAGCTCTACGCGAGACACCTGCGACACTGTACTAAATTTGACTCAACCCCGTATTCGTTCGTTACCACTGTCCCCCTTAACCAGTCAGGTATTGCGCCTTTGCTGATGACGCGGGACATGGGGGGTGGAAGTTTGTCGAGCCATAGTTGGGCCATGATTTCCACGGCCAGCTTACGGCCGCAGTAAAGACTGTGTAGGTAGCGAAGCAGTTGAGATGGCGATCTGACACTAAGTTCAACAGTGGCGAATAAATCTCGCAGCGTTTTGTTTTCGGAATTCCCTGTCCTACTGATGACGGCCACTCGAGTGGCGTCACAGGGATAAAACAGACTCACTAATAA